TGTCCATTTGTCATACAATTCGCTTAGCCTAAATATTGTGCTGGTCGTTTTTCTTCTTCAATTGAGATGTTGAGATCTTCCATGACAATATCCCTTGTAGGAATATTGTCTCTTAATGAATGGTCAAGACTGGAATCTTGTTTCATCTGTCGTTCATTTCTAGCATTAGTTTTTCCACGACTAGAAGCTACGTACGGTGAAAAGAAAACTGACTTATATGGAGTATCATTATTGTGAGTTTCTACAATAATGCTACTTCCAATGGCCTAAAATTATAGTTAATAAATACAAGGACTCTTTCTTTTTAGAAGGCCGTGGACATTTTGTTGTCACTTGCTGCCTTTTCTGCCTATTCATTACGCATTAGTCTCTGATAAATGTGGTCGAGAATCCTACGAGGCGACAAGTACAAATCGAATATCGTGGCGCGAGTTTCAGATAAACCGCTAGGCGAACGGATGCGTGAAGAGAGTGAGACCGCAAGCAAGGTAAAATGAGATAAGCTACATTGATGTCGTGCGATCTTGCTCACTTGCTATTTCCTCTCTTTGCCTTTGACTATGAGGACAGCACTGTTCGGCTGTGAATCGTCAGCCAATCAGAGCAAAATAGTTTTTCGTCCTTCCCTACGAACAAGAACTTGGCTGCCCCCGGTTAGGGTTCTTGTTAGTAGGGATCACACACTGTACAGGATTATATCAACCATGTATCACTGCATTCTGCTACATATGTAATATGTACATATGTGCATTAGTAGGAACAAGTAGGTAGGAACGTAGAAACTAATAATGGTTACAGTAGCTATACATTTTTTGTAACTCAAATATGTATTAAATAAATAAAACGTGTTGTCAGTTTCCCAAGAAAGAAAATAATGGGAGACAGCCTTCGTCGACAAGTTAGTACTATGATTTTATATTATTATATCTGCTGATAAAGTTTGTTGACTAAAAGTTGTTAAATTCTTGGTGCTTTATTCATATCCAAACTACATTAGTTATAAATATTAACATAAAATAGTGATGCCATATTATAATAAAATTTACTTTTAACCAAATA